CGGAGGGTCCGCACGCGCCGCTGTGGGTTGCGGCCGGCTCCGGGGAGAGGCTGGGCCGGGGGGTTTGCACGAAGCTCAGTTACAGGAGCGTGCAGGTCCTCGATGACTTGCAGCCAGCTCAGGGGGACATGCGTTAAAGCCCTGCTTTGTGTGTTACTGCTCTGCTCCAAGATACAGTGGTGACTCAGAGGATCTCCGATACGTACACGTTACTTGGCTGCTTGGCTCCTGGATCCCGGCCTTATGAGACGGGGCTTGCGTGCAGGAGGTCTGGAGAGGCTCTTCCTTTGTCAGATGAGGTAATGTGGCTGGTACCTCTCCTTGATGTACAGGCACATCTTTTTCTCAGACCGGCATGCAGCGTTCGCTAGTATAGTGCATGAGCTGAAGGAAACACTCCTCATACCACGATCCTGTTCTCTGGGGCTTGACTATGACAGTAAATCTTCCATTTTATTTACTGGTAACTCCTTCTCAGAGTGAGCGAGAGAAGCAGGAGCAAATTGAGGTCCAGAAGGAGAAGCAGAGAGAGCTTATCCTGCAGCTCAAGACACAGCTGGATGACCTGGAGACATTTGCTTACCAGGAGGGCAGCTATGATTCTCTGCCACAGTCTGTGGTTATGGAAAGACAACGGGTAAGGCTCGCAAAGTCCTTCTGCCTGTATTTCTTCTTAGCGTTTGTGAGCCTCTTATAGACTGTAGGAGTTGGTCAGTCCTTATTTCTCGACAGCAGCTGTAATAGGATATCAGTAGTTCATCTGCATGTGTAAACCTGTCCCGTGTGTTCTCTTGCAATTTTCTATGTGCAGCAAAGGTGGCCTGTTTCCAAGGTAATGGATGGGTAAAGGAATATTTTGAAGCTCATGGGCAGCAGCGCCACACTGTGAGATCATGCTACTAACTCATGTTTTGCAGATGATTATAAATGAGTTGATAAAGAAGCTGGACATGGACTTGAGTGAAGATATTGCAACGCTCTCTCCAGAGGAATTGCGACAGCGTGTGGATGCTGCCATAGCACAGATTGTTAATCCAGCCAGGGTGAAGGAGCAGCTGGTGGAACAACTGAAGACACAGATAAGGGACCTCGAAATGTTCATCAACTTCATTCAGGGTCAGTGCTGAGTTTTTAGATGAACAGATTGAATTGCTTTGTAATTCCCTGACAAAGTTATGAGGAGGGAGGTCACAGATGTCAGAGGATGCAGGGAGGGTTTCTGGGTCATGCAGAAGTACAGATCTCTCTGAACTGGCGGTGGGGAGAACAAGAGACTGACAAAAAAGGTGCAGAGAGGTCTAAGAAATATTGACCTTAATACTTGGGATACGCAGCTGAAATTCACAAGTGTGAAATAATAGTGTGAAATTCTTGTTATAGATGAAGTTGGAAGTTCTGGTAAGGCGGAAGATGGACACTGTGAATGTGCAGGCAGAAAAGATGGCGGTGGCTCCTACAAACCAAATACACGGCCTTCTGGAAATAGAGGTGGGCACTGCTTGGCTCGGAGCTTCCAGCACCGCTCCTGCTGTCACTCATTTGAGGTTTGGCAAGCATGAACCAGCATCCACTCATGCTAGGCTGCTTTGCTTTTTTCCTGGCAGTTGGTTTCTGTTCTTTCCTGCTCCCCCTGACAGGAGGCCTGTGTCCAGTTCCTTTACCCTTCCTCCATGGGATCATTAGAGTAGTCACAGAACCTGAACGTGTGGCACAGGGGGTGGGACTGGTCCTCAGCTGAGATCAGGAATAGAAGGGACTTCTGATACGTAGTACAAAATGCAGACAGACTGAGCAGCCTTGACTTGTACGCGCTGTCAGGCTGCACTGTAATTAATGCGCTCTGAATTCTTACCTCTGTGAGCAGATACAGTGAGCTGGATGGATCCAGTGTTCTTTCTAATTTGAGACTTTTCTACTTCTCGCAGGAATTTGTTTGAGCTAGAATAGTATACCAGAGGAAACACTACAATACCTTTACTTTCTGTAATCTGAGGCATCTGCCACTAGTCAGAGATAGAATACTGTCCCGGATGGACTTTGGGTCTTACCCAGTGTGGCTACTCTTGCAAATTGAATTTAATAATGGCATCAGGAGTAAGCAGTGGATGTTAGCCTGCTGAGACAAGATGCTTCTTGGAAGTAGGCAGTGGTCTCCTTCAGCAAAAGTTTTGGTATCTCCTAATCACCCCTGTGATATCGTCATGTCTAAAGAATGATCTTTCCTCACTACGTATGTGCCCACACAGGAAAGCTGTTGTAGGATTTCTTCTCTGTAAGATGACCTGATTGTCGAGAGCAGGCCATGCAATTGTTTGCTTTTCTGGGGTGGCTTCAGTGCTTTGAAACTAGAAAAAGTAGCATCAATCCTAGTGACAAAAGCTCCCAAGGAGGAGGAGAATCCGTGGCGGAGGAGGAGCAGACATTTGTGCTCCCTTTGTGTGCACGAAAGAGCAGAGCTGTTGATTCCTTAATGAGGGTATTTTTTTTCTCTTTTCTAACCTGATCAGTGAGCCCAGAAGATGCCAGAAAGATGCGAGAAACAGGCCTGCACCTCATGCGTCGCATGCTTGCTGTGCTACAAATATTTGCTGTCAGTCAGTTTGGTTGTGCTACTGGTCAGATTCCTCGCACCCTCTGGCAGAAGGACCAAGCCAGCAAGGACTATTCCCCCTTAATTAAGAAACTGGAGTTGTCAGTAGAGCGGGTGAGGCAGCTAGCTATGAAACACCCGCAGGAAGACCACGTTATCAGTTCCTCCGATCTGCAGGACATTCCCTTAGGAGGCAGAGATGAGCTGACTCTAGCTGTGCGGAAGGAGTTGACCATTGCTTTGCGAGACCTGATGGCTCACGGGCTCTATGCCTCTTCTCAGGGAATGAGCCTGGTATTGGCACCCATCGCGTGCTTGATTCCTGCGTTCACCTCATCCCCGCAGACCATGCACCCCTGGGAACTCTTTGTGAAGTATTACAACACTAAGAATGGACAAGCTTTTGTGGAATCCCCGGCTCGCAAGCTCTCCCAGTCCTTTGCCTTGCCTGTGACAGGAGGAGTGGCCATTACCCCCAAACAGAGCCTGCTGACAGCGATTCACACTGTCCTCACGGAGCACGACCCCTTCAAGCGCAGTGCAGACTCTGAGCTGAAAGCTCTGGTGTGTATGGCCCTAAACGAGCAGCGCCTGGTCTCCTGGGTAAACCTGATCTGCAAATCCGGAGCCCTGGTACAATCCCACTACCAGCCGTGGAGCTACATGGCCAACACAGGCTTCGAGAGCGCACTCAACGTTCTCAGTCGCCTGAGCAACTTGAAATTCAACCTCCCGGTTGACCTGGCTGTCCGGCAGCTGAAAAACATCAAAGATGCTTTTTGATGTATTTTTATCATAGATCATCCATTTTCCACAAGAAGGCAGCTGTTGGGCTCAAGAAGCCTGGCTTTTTTAAGACCAAGTTTGGCTCTTTGAAACTGATATTTGCTTTCAGAGCGAGGCGGGCTGGTAGGTGTTCGGTCTCCTCGGGGTTGCCCCGGGGGCGAGTGACTTGCCCTCCCCAGTGTGAATGTACAAAACTGGGGCAGATCTGCTGAGCCGCGGGTGCGGGGGCCTGCGCTGTGCCGGTGCCTCGGCGTTCTTCAGGCTGCCGGGTGAGGGGCTGGCTCCGGCGGCTTTCTCCAGCGGTCCCAGAGCTCCTTTCTTGAAGCTTTTGTGCAACGGCCAGTGCGCCAGCGGCCTGGTGTTTGTAGGGGATGCATTAAATCGCTTTAGCAAGTGTACGTGTGGGGAGAACCCATCTCCCGCGACCGTGTTTTGTGTTCGTTACTAGCCTTTGTGCTGCTGCTGTGCTAGCTCACTTGGCCTGTCGTATGTACCGTGGGGCTTTACGTTACCGGCGGCTCCTGCTGGAGCG